TACGCGATCCAAGCCTGGTCTCCATGGCTGCAAAAGGATACACAACTGCTAGAGCGTATCTACCACCGCGCGACCAAGCTGGTCATTGGCCTCCGAAACGTTCCCTACAGTGAAAGGCTACGTAAACTCGATTTGTTTGATTTAACTTATCGGCGTATACGAGGAGACCTCATCCTGATGTTCAAGATAATAAACACCCCTAATCACCCTTTAAAACATTTGTTCACAGTTAATTTGGCCCGACAGACCCGACGGAATCCATTGGCCGTTGACATTCCATGTTCCCGCATTAACTGTCGGCGCTACTTTTTTTCAGTCCGCGTATCCCTCACGTGGAACAAACTACCAACATCTGTTGTGGATTGTGGTGACCTCGAGACTTTCAAGCATTCGCTTGACGAATACATAAGATCTCACCCAACTTCCCTCATCAACATTTGAGATGCAGATTACAAACAATAGAACATATATGTCATATCATTCCGTTTTTCTGTATACATACACACACCAATATCCTTTGATCATTGTAAAGCAAAATGCTTTTTAGACCAATATAACCTTGATTTACCTTGATTTACCTTGATTTACGTGAAGTGCATTGAGAGCTGTACAGAAGCAATAAAGTTAGATATGGATATCCAATCACTCCACTTGTTTAATTGCATTACTGATGACGTAAGGAGAGGAATGATTGGAGGTCTCCAAAACTCACATGTTCGGATCTCCCCGTGCAAGAAGCTTGTTGACCCTAAAGATGCGGACGATATTGATAGCATCCTTGAAAAAACAACTAGAAAACCGACCAATCCTTCGGAACGTGCTTCGTGCCACAAAGTGAATAGTGTAGCCGCAGTCTTTGAACTGACCTCCAGGATTTTGAGAAATATCGGTGGATGTTGCAGGACTTTATAAGTTTCTTAGAAATTGCATGATCTCCGAAGGTAGGATGACAAATGAAGTGAACTCACGAATCTTGAAGACAAGAACTGCGTTTGTCAATTCGCGTCGCTTGTGACATAAAAAGAGTGGTCACTGATTCTCAATGGACGAACGTATCAGACGACGGTGCGGACCATATCGCTGTAGGCTACGAGACTTGGCCAATGCGAGTGGAGGGCCCAAGGCATTTTTTAGGTCTTTGACCACCAATATCTCGGATTTATTCAGCGAGGACACCCTTTCGGTTGCTAGCTACCATGCAATTTGAAGGTAGGACGAGGGTTGGGATACTGCCAGGTTACCCAAGTCCATATCGGGGAGGTCGGGATGCTGAGGTCGGGTTCGAACCTCGGACTTTCCGGTCAGTTAATTCGTGCTTTGACCAATAAGCCATCTCGTTTCCCACCAGTGTTTCATAAGTATAGCTGGGATGGCCTGAGACTGGTGGATTCTTAATGAGATGACCAGGAACGGGCTTTTGCAAAAAGTCTATACCTCACTCAACGAATGAGTCCAGCTGCGATGAACATGATTGATACTCTATTCATTGCGCTATTCATTATTCTCTTGTTTAAATGTTCCATATGCTGTACATATTCGCCAATTCGAATACAAACGCGGTGGTTGTTACGCTGCGCTAAATTCTGGATTTCTAGTTCGCCTGGTTATTCCGATGTACGTACGAAACTTAATTCCCACATTTTGGCGTCGCGATTGGAAAGATTCATCACGCCTGCCGAAATGGAACCATTGGATATTAATTCAACTGCGCGTGACGGTTTGACATATGATGCCTCATAAAATCCGGTATGGATGATAAGAAACTCACCGCATATTTCCTACATTTATTTGGCAAGGAAGCGTATACGTTGACCAAAAATTTAATATATCCTGAATCTCCTATCGATATTTCCTACACTGCATTGAAGAAAAAAGTTCTTCAACACTTCAAACCGATTAACTTCATAGCAGCCGAAAGAGCCAGGTTCAATATGTTGGCCCGCTCTCCTTCTTAGTCGGTTCGTGATTTCGTGTTGCAGATGCAGATACAGGCAGCCAAATGTGACTACGGTGCCCATTTGGAAGACCAGCTGCGTGATAGACTCATTGCTGGCACTCAGCTGCCCGAATTACAGCAGAAGATGCTACTCTGTCCGGACCAGAAATTTCAAACTATTTAGAAAATATGTGAGCAGTATGAAGATGTGAAGCATGTGGCGAATACTGAGGAAGCAGTCGTGTTAAATTATTCTAAAAGAAATAATTCAATTATGAACACGAAAAACAAATTCGAATCTCGAACAGATTCTCGTGCTCCAAATCTATCAACACGTCACTTCACAGATCGTGACCTTAATCTGATGGCTCAAAAATTTGGGGAATGCGAGTCTTGTGGACGAAACCATTCCAGATATTCCTGCCCCCACAGACGAGTGAAGTGTTTTATCTGCGGTGAAAGGGACACATTCAACTTGTCTGTAAGTCCAAGAAAGTGTGTCACTTAATTTCTGACGCAAATACTGACGTGACGGCATTATCTGAAGATAGTTCTACTCTTTCTTTATCTGTTATTTTTCCAAAAATTCGTCACATGTTTTTAAAACGTTGATATCTGCTTCTGGTCAAAAGCATGACTTCATTGTTGACACTGGTTGTGTTTAATCCATTATTCTACAATCAGATCCAACTGCATTCTACCCCAGTGCCGTGATAGTGCATACAGATGTTAACATTCGCGGTATCACTGGACATTCTGTCCATTTAGTTTGTAGTTCCACGATCCCTGTGAGGCTACCCCGAGGTACCTCGGTTGTAATTTTTTGGTTTCAAATTCGGGACCGTCGATTATCGGACCCAGAGTTCTACGCTTAATGCAAACCAGTATCACCATACCGACGTCTGTGAATGAGAATGAAGTCAAACAACCGATTCCTAAGCCTACAGGTGGCATGCAAATACCCAGGAGACGAATTGTTCCATATGGCTTACAAGAGCCTGTTCGTCAAGCGTTTCAACGAGTTCATGCCGACTACTGTGTTCCTTTACTCGGCAAATAATATGCTCTAATTGTTATTGACTAATATTCACGTCGGCCTGAAGCTTTTCTAACTACGTCTCCAAGTGCCCAATTCACACAGCAAGCGATGAGGAAAGTATTCAGCCATGAAGGTGTACCAACTGTTTTGGTCACTGATAACGGCACATACTTCACTGCAAAATTCTTCGAGGAATGTTTGAGGGGTCTTGGATGTCGACATCTGTTTACTGCTCCGCAAGTCCAGTCGAATGGACTTGCTGAAAATTTTGTCCGAACACTAAAGTCTGCCATTATTTCACTCTCTCCTACTACTTTTGTGGAATTAGACAGTGGGATTGACGATTTTCTAATGCAACACAGGAACGTCGTTCATCCCGTTACTGGGATGAGTCCCGCGCTCCTATTTAGATCTCGTTCGTTGCGTACAAGTCTTGACTGTGCCCAAACGGTTGATGTTAAATTTTTCAAGGGTAATGACTTACGACCTGCTACAGGAATATAGTACTTTTATCAACTGGCAGAGGAATGGTCACGATTCTCGATTTGGATGACCTTTCTTGTCATCGGAGACACATTGACTAGGTCGAGTTCAATACTGGAGGTCAGTCTGTTAACGGCACTCCTGCTGCTTCAAATACTAATGGGTCCTTTGTAGATGATCTTATGGTATTTGAACAAAACGCATCTGAAGAACACAACCTGTGAAGAGTTTGAAGTTTCCATTCCGAGAAGACCCAAAAGATTGCGGTCCAGAACACCACTGGACTAGAAACACCCACACGCTCATTCAAGGTGTGGCGGATGTAATGAGCATGACTGATACTCTATTCATGGCTCTATTCATTATTCTCTTGTTTTGATGTTACATATGCTGTACATATTCGCCAATTCGAATACATACATGCTGGTTGTTACGCTGAACTGAACTCTGGATTTCTAGTTCGTCTGGTTATATCGATATGCGTGCGAAAATTAATTCCCACACCAGCACTGCAAGCTTAGATGACTGGACCATGTGCTACACATACCGAATTACCGCCTGATGAGGCGAGTGCTGTTTCTTGATTCAAATTGTTGGAAAACTTGAGGTGTATAGATCATCACAATCATCATTATCCTCAAAGGCAGAAACGCCAGTGTTGGCAATGATTCTTAGCCACCGTATACAAGTTTAAATGGAAGAACGGAATGGAGGACGTCAGAAGGAGTTTGGGCGGCGTTGGTCCCGTTTACTTTCCGGATGGGATAAACGTGACTCTACGAGAATGTTTGCGGGCCTCAACTCCGTGGACTACGAAACGCGTCTCGCGATGCTTGATCTCTTTCCCCTGGAGTACCGTCGCCTCCAAGGGGACCTAATTCTTACTTATGTCCTGTTTGAACAAAGCTTGGCAAACAGGTTGTTTTACCGTTGAACCAGCAAACATACGGCGGGGACATAGTAAGAAAATTTTCAAGCTCAGAGCACACACATTCATTAGACAAAATGTTTTCTCATTTTGGGTAGTGGGTGTGTGGAATGACCTTCCTCCGACGGTTGTTCACGCTGCTTCTAGAACCCAGTTTAAAGCACTATTAGACACTTATTTATGTGAATCCTCGCGCTGGTGAGCATACTGCCCCGCGCTGAGAACATAAAGAGCAGTGCTACACCCTCTTTTCACTTGTGCCTTTCAAGCGAACGACCGCCACTGACCGACAAGGACAAAACCGAACAGGGAAATTTGGGCAATAGCCTCGATCCTGTGTGTCGATCCATGAATCCGTGACGCCCTGCGGCTGGCTATAGACAGTGAACGTTGACTTCACTTTCTCTTCCGCCCACGGTAGTGGTCCTTTAGTGAGACAAGAGTACTGCTTCAACTATATTTATGTGACCATATCTGAATATCCTGAAGTGTGTGCGAAAATATCAAGGTACATATGCTCAATCCTGATTGGTTCTCACCCTGACTAATCGGAACACGCCCTCGTTTGGTAGCCCGCGCGTGGCACATCCGTCCAGGCAATGTAATGTCCGGTTATTTTTGAGGATAACGTTCATTTAACCACTCCTGTAGTGAAGTAGGTTCACCGCGATGCGGCAATAAGTGTTTGGTAGAACGCTCTATTTTCACTTAATGAGGCGGGATTTGTTTATTTGTGTCTTGGTTTTCTGTAAGATAGCATAAAGCGAATACGTGGACAATATACCCAGGATCCGGATAACATCTAGTTTGGGAATATACAAGCAAGTCATATCTTGGAAAATAACTGTGTTGTTCGAAAATTACTGGGGACTCCAAGTTCAGTTGAAGAAGCGCCCGGGCGGATTTATGGACATCAATCCTCTCACTCCGTCAGTTAACTAGGGGCGATCTCTATCAAGTTTTTTGGCGTGAGGGTTTGCTGGCATAACTGCTAACGCTGACGTAACAGGCCTGACCCAAAGTCATGGCTATTCTCTGGGTGTCGCCATGCTCCTTGGAACTTTGCATTCTCTTCGAAATAAAGTTCTTGTGCCCATATCTGTTTATTTTTCTGACGTCACTGAAGCCGGCGACAACGGTCAATCAAAACAGGTCAGTGATATCCGGACCCACTCAAGTGAGATAATTGTCGTCACACCTAGCAGTTATAACTGCCAAAGCTTCGATGGATGTTTTGCAGCAGCAAATGACGCAGTTCAAGGTGGCATAAATACGACTGCTTCAGCTTTTAATTAATCAACTACAGTTGGCCGACGGTGGTCACCGGTGGCGAACGTAACGTGTCACCCCCGTCTGCCGCCCTTGGTGCCACTGGTGGCATGTTAACTGGGCGAATGCCCCTACAGTTTCAAGTTCTATTGGCTCGCTTGCAAACAGCATCGCGGAATTCGATTACACCCCATACTGGTTTGGTCCGTGGTACTTGGTTAAAGCGTTGTTCTCAAAATTGCACTAACACAGCTGTTGCCTAGCGGCTGTCGCCAGAAGGACTCACTACATCCAAAAGCAGGCCACAGAGACATGCGATACGTCAACTCCAACAAAACCGTGCACCAGCTCAGCAATTTTCGGTATATGTTCGTCTTAGTTCAGTGTTTACTGTCAGCTTGTGGAGCTGATGGAAAGGAAGTCCAATACGCAGCTACCTTCCCCACCTCCCCAAATCATCGGTGAACGAAATTGTGGCAGCTACAACCACTGTACGACAAGTACACGGTTCTTACAGCTGATAATGATGAGGATGATGATAATGAATTTGTGTGACGTTGTGTGACAACTTTCCGGAGTAACAGCCGTACCTTCAATGGGTCATCTTGCTTGGCGAAATCAACTTTGAATATATCTTGGTACCTTTTGAACCAAGAGTCGGAAGTTTTATCTGCATCCCCGTACAGATCGAATTCGGTGATAGAATCAGCAATGGAGTTTGTAGATGAAATTGATGGTTGACTTATGTTACTTTCGGAACCTGAATATTCAGACTTTGGGTCAGCAGTTCTATGAGGTTCAGCTGCGTGTGCTCAGATTTCTTTTGGTGTTGCAGTCGCGCGTGCTTAGGCTATTTTTGCTGATGTTCCAAAATAAGTTGAAGTTGGTCAGCTGAAACTGACATCCTAAGATACCTGTCACCAGTGTAATAACTGTATGATAGATGGGTAATGCAGGAGGTGGATGGAATTTGTTCAATCGCGTTGGTAGTTTTGTTCTTGTGCAGGAAGTCTCAGAGGAGACTGGCTGAGGATGGGCTATATTGCGGATGAGCCAAAGGAAGAAAAAGTGCTGCGGCTCAGTTGGCTACAACAGAAAGTATATGAAACCTCAATGAGAGATTACAAAAGGCCCAATTTTACGTTAGGATCCGACCGTCCTAACAAATAATGGTTGTATTTGGGCTAACCTAGACAAGAGACTGCTCATGATCTTTGACCAAAGGCTATCCACAGGACATCGGTGTTTTACGGATATACCTTACCAACGTTTGAAGAAAAAGTCGCCATACTTGTTCTAACTCCCAAACTGAAGACCACTAGCCACTGACCAACCTGGTCTTCAACTCTTGAACATCCGCAATATAGCCCATTTGATCATGTGACGCACTAACAACCACGCCATAGTAAAGTCTTTTCGTGGCGAATTTGTATCGAGGATTCATATAAAGTTATGCTGTTTTTCGCAGTACTTAATTCACCCTCTTCGATCAGAGCCCTGTTGACGATATGCTTTAGCACAGCTTCACATTTCACCCATGGTTTCAAATTCGAGTGAAAAATAGGTCATATTTTGTCTGCACCCCCGACCTAGCCAGAATGAGTCGTTCCGCTGCAACACCCTTTCGATGCCTAACTTCCATTCTACCAAACAGAAGCACGAGGGCTGGGATACTGGTAGATTGCCCAATCCTAGACAAGAGAGATCGAGATGCAGAGGCCGGGCTTGAGCCATGGACTTTCCGGTCAGTAAATTCACGCTCTAGTTGATCTATTTCGCTCACGTAGCCAGTAGCAACGCTCGGTCTGTTGTAGGGCCATGCAGGGCGAGTATCACTGCACCAGCCGAAGATACAATTGCTTACCTTGAAGGTTGCGTCTGGACGAGATTAGCTCAATAGAGTGATACTCTGCCGATGACTACCCAATGACACTAGCGGGTCTTCTATAGAACAACTGAAAAACGAATTCAGTACACCAGCAAAAGCGGCCCCCAGTCTTTCTTCAGCGTACAAATAATAACGTCAGCGAAATAAGCTGACCGTCGGGGTCTGAAGTTTGATTTGGATGTATACGGCTAGGAGTCGAGCGATGCTCGTATGTTGCGACCAACTTCTATGTTGGGTTATCAGGGCTGTCATCCGTTGTATATAGGCCTATGATTAGATTGCTACCAAGAGGTTAGGAGTGGCGAGGAGTGAGCGGGTATAGAAAAGCACGGAGGACTATGATTTTTACATCTTCTGGCTCGTCATAATTGACAGCATAACATCGCCTCGCTGTCGTAGCCGGGTTGTATACAAGAGCCAAGACTGATAACTTCACACAATGGTCGATGTGCCAGGAGATTCCTTCGTTTTTCGCAGTTCACTTTTCCTGGTATGAAATGAGGACACTAAACCCATGCATAGGATGAATAGAGGCAGAAATCAAGGTTCCTGCCTCAAAAAGCTGACTGCAAGACTGATGAAATTTCTGGGGATCAATCGCTACATACCCCCAAGCCCTACATCTGAATGGCCTGGAGGTGGCCAGATCTCCACCTGTTGAGCAGCTTGTCCTTATAGACAGCGAGCTTCACATGGCACTCCAAACCACCGCTTATCATCATTCAAGGACTTTTTAAACCTAGCCTAGATGTGTCAGCACAAAAGTGCTCCTCAGGATCTTCGTTTAATCTGGTTTTTAGGTTCGCAGCGTAACATCAGGACATGGAATTTTTTTTAGATGCTTTCTGTCTCAACTTTTACTTTGTAGCGGTTTTAATATTTTGCGCTTACGATGGCCGGTGCTGTGCAGAAACCCAACCAAACGTCATTCGGTCAAACCTTGGGCAAAGCACACTTCGCACATCGACCGATGTCACTCCGCAAATTTCTAGAACCTTTTGACCATAGTTCGTTGACGGACTATGAAGCTGGTGGGAAATACGCTGCATACAAGACGAGCTTTGCTAAACAGCAGCTGGAGGACTTTTTTGAGAGGAATAAGACTCAGGCCTGGTAAGTTACCTTTCCCATGAACGATGTTCTCGCACTGATCTTCGCGCCCTTCGATTTTGTGTCTATTTGGACTGGTATATTATGTTGGGAAACTTATCCGAAATCCCACAATCTATGCAGGTGGTTACCCTCATCCTAAGCCTCGTAACTATGTCATCTAGGTATTTGGCAGTATGCTTGTCATATATAATTATATATATATATATATATATAGTTTATGGAAACATTGTTATCATCCATGGAGGTAGCAAGTAAGTTTCAGATTTAGAAGTAATCGAGCTGAACGTTGTCGAAGTTTTCCGGTGTCGTACCAAACTGGTAGATGGACAGCGACTGCGACAATATCAGGAATGTATAACTGATGTTGACAGGACCTATGAGCACTGCGTCAAAGTTAAGAATTGGCTGTAGAATTTATTGTAGAAATCCTTGAGGAAGGTTACTCATTGCAGCCGGAAAGTGGGATTATAACATCTTATTCCAATATGTTGTGTTTTGACTTTAAAAGTTTCCAGAAAATGTGCAACTAACTTCCAAAGCTATCAGGCTGGTCATGTTTTAGGACAGAGGTCATTCGTATTGCTGAAGCTTCTGCCAATCCGTCTTTCTGACCCTCTACACAAACAAAGCCAACTGGTAACCAGCGTTACGCTAGCTCGGTAGGCCCTTCCCACAGTTGATCGTCATTTATGTAATACTCCTATTCTATCAGTACTCTACGTGACCATCAAATGAAATACTAATTATTAGCCTGTTACTGTGTTGTTTTTATGTCTTTAGTAACGTGATTGCGCTTCTTATCAAAAGCAGTAACCCGAACGGTGGATTCTATCGGTTAATATGTCAGGTAACTTGTAATTTCTCTGGACTCCATCTTGATATTTCAACAGAAGCAGTTTTTGCATACGAAATGAAGCCAAAGTAAGAGTTTAGCTGTGATATTCTTCCGGTGCTACCTTGCAATCTCAACGGAGAACAAAGGATACTTCATCATCAGGTTTCCCGAACCAATTGCCCCGCAGTGTTACTGTTATGGTTAATAATCGTGCTTGTCAGCCAATCTCGGGCATCAGTTAGGTTGGGAGTAGGAACCGGAAAGCGCAGTCCTCAGTCACTAGCAGACAGAATTTCAGTTGCTTGTACAATTACCTCTCTCTGGAGCGTTAACCCGCAGATGAACATATTCTAGTGCTAGCTGCAGTAATACGCTTTCCCATTGCATCTTGTTGTACACGAGATGGGTCAGGTATCTTAATGGGTACGGTATCTCAAACGAGCAAGGCCGATGAAATTCTTCATCAGCACAAGGTTCAAACACAAGGACTTTCTTAGCTGAAATTGGATTTGATTCAGAATCACAGTTGGCTTTACAACTACATAACATGACACGTGATCACGTGAATGATTTTGTGAATCCCTGGTAGCTCAACCAATCTATGGCGACTGGTGGCTGGTAACTTTGGAACTACGATGATTGCCTCTCCGACGAAGCTCTTTTTCTGGACACACTAGTTACACTGACTTTATTTCTCAGCCTGGAATATCAACAATCCGGACCGCTCTGCAGAAGTAAACAGCTGTTGCACTAAGCTTTTTGGCCAGTTGATAAGGAGTGAACTGGTAGGTAAGCTAGAATATAAGTGTGGCGCTACGAATTTGGAAGCCCCGTGCAGCATCCAGGTAGATGAGTGAAAGTCGTTGCCGTCTTTCTGAAACCTGGTTCATGGAACCATTCCAATTTTGTGGCTAATTCTCTGGCGCTCTCAAATGGCCACGTATACTACCGACTTCCCATGTCAATTGGAAGGTTCTCGAATGAACTACGCCAACTGTCATGAACCTTCTTTACCTTCCTGTGTGATCTTTGGATGTAAATGCCTGTCACCTCTGTTCAATAGTTGAAAGCTAGTCAAATATTACTAGATGTGTCCATCCACCTTCACTTCAAGTTGTGGCGAATGGAAGACAAGTCTTCGTAATTCTGGACACACCAGTAACCATGCCAGGTCAGGTTAAGTATAGTTCATTGGTGTTGTGGGGTAGTATGGGACCATTAACGGTTCCATTAACCATTATCATGATGACAGAATGGTAAGTCTTGGTCATTTTCTGGCGTGACTGAGACAACTATTTCGAAAACCGGAAAGTAATTCACAGATGTCGAATTGTCGTATGTCGCTTTTTGGGGGTCATATCATCATCATCATCATCATCATCATCATCATCATCATCATCATCATCATCATCATCATCATCATCATCATCATC